ATTGTTAAGCTGGATCGTTTTACTTGATGAAGCAAATCACTTCATGTAGCACTGTCACTTCCTAGTGTTAAAGACGTTCCTTTTTCTGTGTTAAAGCCCTTGTGGCTTTGCGCCCTCTGGTGGAAATGGATCCTGTTCTAGATATACTGAATATGTAACTATAAAAGATCCCTGGTTTTAAATAATGACAATCTCAGGTTTTTCTCAAAATCAGTCAGGCAGTTAAACTAATACACAACCTGCAGAACATGCGTACATACTTACTATTCTAGTGATTTACTGTTGTAATAATGAATGTGTGTTAATACTGAATACTAATGTAATAATGAGTACAATAACTTAGCTTAGAATAACTCTGTCTGTGAAAACTTAAAGGGGAACTCTACCGATTTCTAAGAAATTCTGTGTAATTAAGTGGTTAAGATGTAAACAGAGAGGTTCAGAGTCGTTCAGAGTGGTTTGGTGTGAAACGCTCTGTTCTAGATAAACTTACCGAGTCAGAACTGTTCACAGTGGTGGTGATAGGAACCAGACGTCCACCTCTAAAAGCTCCCTCACAGAAAGTTCCTACATGAAATGGTTATGAATTCACTGCCTGATGACTGAGACACTGTTTTATGATAGTTTAGAGAACTTAAATTCCATTCATGGTGGAGGGATACATGCAGGGCGCTGTGAGGCAAAATAGTCCCCAAAGAAAACTTATTATTTCAGATTTTCCACTATTTTCATCATCAACATTCATATAAACTCAGAAGACTCGTGTAGGTTCACTGGTGGTTTTGGATAGTAAATAAAATGTCTATATCTGTGTTGTAGTCATGGCGACCCCTGGTTCCCATCACCACCACTGTAAAGACATCTGAACCATCTCACACCAAACCACTCTGAACCTCTCTGTTAACATCCCAAGGACTGAATTATGGAGGAATTTTGAAAAATTGGTGGAATTCCCCTTTAAGAATCAGCTCAGATTCAGAGCTCTTGGATCAGATTGAGGGGGCACAAAAACTGACCCAGGACATCTTTACCTTTAACCCTGATCAGCTGACCCTCCCTCAGGTGTGGTAACCTCTTCTTTCTGTGCAGGTGTGCGGGCGTCCGTTGCCGTGTGGGAATCACACGTGTGAGCGCGTGTGTCACGCGGGTGCGTGTGGAGAGTGTCCTCGCGCGGGGAACCGGACCTGCCCCTGCGGGAAGAGCAGTGAGTTACTTTACAGCTCTGCCTCCGTTAGTGACGTCAGCAGTGTCAGCCTGCAGGGAGACGGGGCTGCTGGACAGAGGGCAGCTTAGACGGTCACTGATCAATACCACTGTGTTTATTTGAGGCCACACTTATCTTACAGTTCAGCACACGGAAATAAAATAATCTTTTAGTTCATTTTTATTTCATCCTTAAAGCATTTCTCTCTCTCTCTCTCTCTCTCTCTCTCTCTCTCTCTCTCTCTCTCTCTCTCTCTCTCTCTCTCTCTCTCTCTCTCTCTCTCTCTCTCTCTCTCTCTCTCTCTCTCTGTGAATCAGAGTGCGCTCTGCCCTGTACGGCTGATGTTCCCACCTGTGGGGACACCTGTGATAAGAAGCTGGACTGTGGGTTACACAGCTGCTCCATGCGCTGCCATAAAGGACCCTGTGAAACCTGCAGACAGGTACATGAGTAGTGGTGTAATTGATCACAGTAACATCTCAGTGTATATATACATATATCTATATGTGTGTGTGTGTGTGTGTGTGTGTGTGTGTGTGTGTGTGTGTTCTGAGAGAGTGTCTGTTAGCTGCTGTCCTGCTGTTTTTGGTCTGAGCTGCTTAAACACAGTGAAATAGAGTAACCAGTCAGATAAAGTGTGGAAAATGGGCTCTGTGTTTTCTAGGTTCCTCCAGCAGGGGGCAGGTTATTATAAATTACTCATCAGCTGCACAGAACTGACTAGCTTTCTTTTTGTGTTGTCACTGTGTGTGTGTGTGTGTGTGTGTGTGTGTGTGTGTGTGTGTGTGTGTGTGTGTGTGTGTGTGTGTGTGTGTGTGTGTGTGTGTAGGAGGTGGAGAAACAGTGTCGCTGTGGGCGCTACACTAAACGCATGCCGTGCCATAAGGAGTGTCTGTGTGAGTCCAAATGTAACAAGACACGAAGCTGCAACAGACACCAGTGCAGGAGGAAGGTACACACACACACACACTATACACACACACACACACACACACTACACACACACACACACACTCTACACACACACACACTCACACACACACACACACACACACTCTACACACACACACACTCACACACTACACACACACACACACACGCACACAAACTTACTCCACACACACACACTCACTCTACACACTCTACACACACACTCACTCAGGCTTACACTCTACACACACACACTATACACACACACTACACACACACACACTACACACTCAGACTTACATTCTACACACACAAACATTAATCTTTAATCGTATTTATTCTGACAGTAACAGAACACCAGTAGTAAGACTGTTACGCTCCCAAACTGCTTAGTCTGTGATTGTTGGCGTTATTCAGTATATTATATTATTGATCTGCTATGTTGGTGTGTTTACAGTCACTACAGCACTTCTTCATTAAAATATATTCTCTTAAAGTTAGTTGTTTAACGTCAGGAGTCCTCAGGCTTTTCTTCACAGTGTATATCAGTCCCCTAAGCCAGCTTTCAGGATCAATATATTTCTCCATATCATTCATTATTGATCATCAGTAATAATTAAACACCTTTCCTAATGTTCAGTCTCGTGTCTGAATAGCCTGGATGTCTTTTTGTGGTGTAATAAATGCTGAATAATTTATCAACATAAGAAATTAACGAATGTCTGTATAACTAAAGCTCTGCGTGTGAGGCACTGGAGCGAACTCTAGCTAACTGCTAACTGAAAGCAGGGAGCACAGGGTTCTGAAACGCTGCTGTTCTGGCGGCGGAGTTTCATGGGCCGGTACAGTAACAAGCCTGAACCCCCGGGCTGAGTACCTGTGTCCGTTTACCGCCCCATAAAAGTGGGCGGAGCTCTTTTTAGCCCGTAGAGTCACATGATTTTGAATGTGAGTCTAGAATTAACAGTAAACACAAACAGCAGCAGCAAAAACGGAGGAGCTTCAGCATCTAATTTACCTTTTTGTCACGACCACTTTAATGTCTGCTGAAGTAACACGGCAGCCACGGTCGCCAGGCTCACTGTGAGCAACTTCACCAAACGGTTTATTCACCGTTTAAACACAGAGCAGGAATTAAACCTCAGAGCGGCTGTTTTAGCGTTCTGCTGGGCAGCTGTGGCCGTCGGACTGAAGACACTAAGATACGAGAATCTGCGTGCTGTTCATGATCGGCTGCTTTATTCATTTTAATTGTTTTACTGCTATTATTTTATATTGTTTATATATATATATATATATATATATATATATATAGAGTGCAGACCTCTACCGGACGGCTCACTGAGAGTGCGTAGACTGTGCCGTACCGCACTGCCTGGTGGAAAAACTGCCCCAGGTGGTTGTCGGTGTTGAACCCTGTGTAGCGAAGGTCATATCTCTCACTCACACTCACTCACGGTCACACTCCACCCCTGTTCTTCTCACACACTTACATTTTCCTGGAACAGTCGGTCACTCATGTTCTCCTCCATCACGTTCACACTTCAGATACCGAGGTTCTATTTAGAGCTTCTTCACTGTGTGTGTGTGTGTGTGTGTGTGTGTGTGTGTGTGTGTGTGTGTGTAGTGCTGTCCAGGTAACTGTCCTCCCTGTGATCTGAGCTGTGGCAGGACGCTCGGCTGCAGGAACCACAAGTGCCCGTCGGTGTGTCATCCAGGTAACTCATGCCATTGTGACTCAGTCCTGCATGGTCACACGTCCTCAAACCCGCCAGCTATCTCTAATATAAACAAACCGAGCGGTCACTGAGTGAGTTTACACACAGTCAATAATCCGATAACTGCAGAAAATCAGATTTTGTCAGTAATCTGATCAACATGTTTACATGCACTTGAGGTATCAGATAATGTGAAACGCTGCTCGCTTATTTCCGGTGCCTCCGTCTATTTTTGCACATGCTCAGTCTGAGAAATCCGAAAGAAATCAGAGTAAGAGTTTACATGCACTGAGAAATCTGATTACTGAGCTGAAATCCAGCCTCTTTATCAGATTTCTTAATCGGATTTCTAGCTTGGAGTATGGTGTTTACCTGACCATTTCAGTAATCAGATAACAAATCCAGTTATGATCGGATTATTGAGTGCCTGTAAACACGCTCACTGTGTGTGTGTTCAGGTTCAGCAGCTCTCCGCGTTTGACTGATTTGAAGGTTTGAGTTTTGAATTGTTTTCTGTGAAGTCGCCCTTTATTTAGCTCTGTCCTTCTGTTTTGGTGGAGTTATCCTTTTGTTTATGAGCACAAAAGGCCAGACGGAGGTTTTGCATATCGCATGGATCCGTGTATTATAATGTAGACCAGAATAATGGACTGTGGAGGAGCACAGCGCCCCCTATCTGATCGTTCTCTAACAGTGTAGCCCTCATTCATTATTCAGCACTGATATTTTAACGATTCGACCTTTGATTCTGTGTGTTTGTGTGTGTAAACGAGAGATAACCAGACAGAAGAGAGGTCAGCGAGTCCCGGTTTATAGGTCATCTCAACCTTTCTTAATTATTCTGTTGTCTCATTGTCTCTCTCTCTCTCTCCTTCTCTCTCTGTATACATGTCGATCGCCCGGGTCCTGCGTGTTAAATGCTAAGTGGCGTCTAATCTAAATGTCAGGCCGGTTCTGTGATCTTTTGCTTCAGTTTTGGGTTCAGAACGGAGCGACAGGCACACAGCAGCTCCGACCAGCTGCCGTTCAGATTGGCCCAGCCAAGCTCCGCCCACAAATGCGCTGTCTAGGCCTGTTGGAAGGATTAACAAGCTTTATGGAACGATAGAGTAAAACATTCAGCGCATTTTCAGTTTCGTAATCGACAT